TGTATCTCACTTGTTTTGTGTGTGAAAAATAATTACTTACGGAGTACTCACAATCTTTTGTTAAATTAATTATTTCTGATTAGTAACATTCAGAAAAACATTTTGTATTGTCAATTAAGGTTGACAAATGGATTAGAAGTTAAAGCCAACACTGTACTATAAGTATACTTGCTTCAAATATTATATTTACATCTTTCTTAAATGAGAATTCGCAATCACTTTATAACTATTTGCAATAAAAAAAAAAATTTACACCAAGCTGTTTAACCATTTAGGTATTCTTGATGCTCGTTTAATTGACTTGGTTTCACAAGTAAATTAAACGAAAATTATAATTTCTTAATTTTGCTTAAATCTATATATTTCTACAACAATAAACTTAAGATCAAATCTCGATTTTATTCTTTATAAAAAAAATTATCGTCCAAACACGTTCCTCAAATAATACACTTTGTGTATGTGTGGATCATGCATTATGTGCATGCATGAATTGTGCACACGTACGTGCTTCGTGTGAGCAAATATATGATTTGTAAATTTACTCATTCGGTATGTTACAAAAAATTTTAGTTAGATAAATTCTAATTAAAATTTCATTCGAACACCATTTCATTGTGTAAGAAAAACTTTCAATGGATCTTAAGTTGGAAAATCATGTGTCGATTTCAAGTAAAAACACCATACGCATGCACCTCATTGTGCAAGTAACATACTACTCCACATCACAAATATCTCACCACAACTCAATTAATAATGCTACTTTATGTTATAGTAACTTATAAGTGCGGTAACTAAGCAAGGTCCATTAATTGGTCCAAAATACTTGAAAGTTTGAATTTTGAAAATCTACTACATTTACATACATGTATATTACTACGATACTACTAATAAATAAGTAGATAAAGGGTCCATTTCATACCCACATAGGATTCTAATCTACTCCCCATCCATTTGTGACTTGTCCTGTATTTGAAATAACCATAAAAATATATGAAGCTAGCTTTATGACAAAAGCATGAGAGTAAAAGATTGAGAACCTTCCTATCCCTTATTAGATGGTGTGGAAGCAACACATGTGTAGTGGGGTATCAATATGAGATAAATAAGTTTTGGAGGTTTTAACTCAAGTAACTAGGATGCATGCATGATAAGTGTGCACCTATGTTTTTCCGTGTTACAGTAACATTTGATCGTATGATAGTTATACCTACTAAGTACAGAAATTATAATTATCTACAAATATATATATAGCATAAAATAATTCACACGATATGTGTTATCGTAATCAAGAAATAAATATTTTCCTAAAAAAAAAATCAAGAAATAAATAAATCCCTTTTAAGGATAGTAAAGTCTAAAAAAGAGGTCAAGCTTTTGGTATGTAGTTGGTGGGCCTCATCCGTGGAGAGGGATATATTCTTACAAAGTGTCTTAGTGTCACGGTCCGGGAGTTTGGACCCCGAAACGTGCGGCGCGCTCTAGCCTTTTGGCGGCAAGAACGCTAGCCTTGAGCGGAAGAGGGGCTTGTGAGCACAAAGCAACACAAGCGGGCAATAGAATCTCAGGAGCACTCACGTCTATCTGGGCGACGGAGTGCGGGTGGTCGGGGCTTGTGACGGCCGATACTTCAAAGCGGGCACAAGCGGGTCCGAACCACGAGTCCTTAGCGCATCAAGTTGGGTTGGAGGGGAGCTAATATGCAAGTAAGACACAATATCTATAAAGGTCTAACAACAAACAAGCATAAAAGCAAGACAACACTTGGTAGAAGGCTTTAAGATTTCATTAATCATTCGCCCTCTAAAGAGCTTTAAATGACATACAAGGAGAATCCATAGTGAACACTGATCTGACAGTAACACAATAATGGGACCTCAAGCTAAGAAAACATAACCTAAACTCTAGGAAAGCACTTAAATGGAATCTAATACATCAAAAGGAGTTGGATTCTAACACTTAGCCAGTTTACAAGTTTTACACTATATTGGAGCACTAACGAGTTAGGGAAGCATATATTCCATGAAAAAGTGTTTTGATAAAAGGTTAGAAGAGAGTTTAATATGTTTAACCCCTTTTCATTAAAAATATATTTTCTTGCACCCTTTTACTTATCTTTTGGACAACCCTTTTATTATTGTAGTGGAGAGAGCATCAATATTGACTTGCATGTGCTCCTATATGCTACGACATTTATATTATCACGTATTTATGTACATAAAATAAAACCATAGGATAAAATTATCTAAACATAGGATAATGGTGTCATGATGATGCTTAACAGATAACTAAGTACATTTTTATGTGGTTTGATCAACATCATTGCTTTGACATATGCTATACTTTAAAAAAAAAAAACAGGAGAAATATAAAAACACTGTCAGAGCATCAATATTGAAATCATTCATTGTTGTTAAGATAAAGAAATTTTCTGTATTAAAAGCATTTAAAGAACTGTTACACAAGTTTCATTATTGTAGAGAGTTGCATTTTAATTTTAGGCTTGAAAGACGTTTTTATTGAGTCCCTCTCTCGTTGACCCAACAAAATGAGCGAAAAAGTTTAATGAGTACTCCATAAATGAAAACTGCACCAAATTATACATAGCATGCAAAAAACCCGAATAAATGATACTCGGTATGATGTAAAAAACGACCAATTTAATTATTGTAAATTGTGATCCAATAGGAAAAATATGATCAACAAAGAAATCTACACCAAAATTTGTACGAAGTATATACAAGTAGTACGAAAAACATAAATATATCAATGCAAAAACTAGAAAAGATCCGTTAAAAAACTAGATAAATCGCAATACAAGCGATAAAACTAATAAAAATAACAGTAATTATAAATTTAAGGATGTCATAATAATAATAAGGTACACATCAAAATAAAATCTCCTTCCAAGCTACCTAGATGCCTAAAAAAGCTAAGATATAATTGCATAACATCTAGCTATACTAATTAATTAAAGTGATGTACCTAAGTCATCACAAAATTACAATATATTTTTGTCTAATTATAATAATAACTATTTTTATATAAAATTTTAAAAACCTGACTATGTTTAATATATCTAAATTAACAGCCAACATTATGACGACGAATGAAAACAGCTTCCAAATCAGGAGGAGTAATAAAGAACTCCCTTTTCACGTTTAACATCTTATTCTTACACAATGCGCCACCACTCCTCTTTCGAGGGGGTGGCGGGCAAGGAAGCTTCGAGGGGATTCTCGAACCTTCCGAAGTCGGAGTCGTCGGTCCCGACGACTCGTTCTCTTTTTCTCCATCACTTACAATGACACTAGGACCACTACTCGTATAGATTGGCATCAGAGGAGTCCTCACGTTCACCACCGAATTCGACGATTTCTCAGAAGAAATCCCCATAATAATAGTATTTTTTTTATTTTTATTATTTTTTGTTATTTTGGGAGGATTTAGGAAAAAGGGTTTAATTTAGAGAAAAGAAAAAAGATGAGAGAGAAATTAAACGCGTATAAGATGGAGGAGGAATTGAAGAAGAGAAAGAGGAAGAGTTGAAAGGAATTATATAAAGGAGAGGAGAGAGAAAAAGGGAACCCGAGGAAACTCGTGAGTTGAGTTTTATAATTTTCCCTCCAATTTAAGGGTGGGTGCCCGAGAATTAAGCTGACCGGAATTTGGAAACGGGCAGTCTACTCTATCTGACTTGGCCTTCTTCTTGGCGGCATATTATTTGTGGGTTTTAGGGATCTTCAATTGCTCTATTTGTATCAATGTCTAGTCTACTCACTTCAATTCTCTTGATTTTAGTGATATCCTTAAATTGATTGTGGTGAATTATTTACATTGGGATCCAATCAATTTGAGTTTCTTGTGTTTAATCCAACGATGGATCATTGGCCTGGTTGTATTGAATAATTATGATATAGATTATTGCATACATAAATTAGAGAATATAACATTGTTGTTATTACGTACAATATGAATAAGGTATGTAATACTGTAAAGTCATAGATGCATCCTAACACACTAGAGTCTCTTGTGTTTAACCAACGAGACAATGATTATTGATTCTGTTAATTATAAATAATACTACAATTTTATGTAAATTAAGATACTGACATTACGAAGTACTAGATTTAATTTTTTTTAATTGTGAAATGCGTGTAAGCAAGGAAGGTAATAATGGAGTTTTCGAATCAGACAAACATATAATGAATTGAATAATGGTATTGAGATTATTTATTGTTATTTCCTTATGGTGACTGATGGCATGGGATCCAATGAGAGTTTCATTTTTAAACCAACGACGCAATGACCATTGAGTTTGTTGATTACAAATAGCTTAGATTATTATTATTTATGTAAATTAAAGTTTTAAGATATTGTTATAACGGAATATATGAATTTTACATTTGTTAAAAATACGTGTAAGGAAGGTAATATTGGAGTTTTTCGAAAGTCTGACCTAATGGAATAAGATAAGAGATAAACATTGAGAAAAATGTGTGATATATTCACTAAACATTACTTGATGAATTCCATTATATTGTTAAAAAAAAACCTAATTTTTCGAACGTATTTATCATCTATATACAACCATAAAGCTAAGGTGGTCAATAAAATGATTTCTTAAGACAAAAAGGGCAAAAAGAAAAAATCAACTTCGTATAAGGTAGTTTATGTCATCCCCACTCCTTGGAAACTTTTCATCAGGAAAGAAAAAAGCAATTTATGCAAATTTTATACTATTAAAAAATAAGTCAAAGGTTAGTAGAATATATCATATGTCCTAGATATGTAGACATTGTGAAAGTCTTCCTAAATTGTCAATTTCCAAAGAAAAGTTGTTGCATGCATGCATAGCAGCAATTTTGTAACATGTTCGGAAGATTAGGAATCCGATTTTTTGGAAAAGTAAAGTTCCTAAAATTAAGTATATATACAATGTGTATTAAAATGATTAATAGAGTTACAACTAATTATTCTAAGAAAGTGACAAGCAGCAATCCTTATGGCTAGATAGATTATGTGAGTATACTTTAATTTGCTTGACCTTTAATACAGTATGTTGTTCAATTAGTCCTCTCCATTCCCAAACCTAGTTGTTAGACTTGTAATGGTTTATATTTTCGAAACAGCTAGAATATTCATTCTTAAATTAATAGTATGAGGGGTACTTTAATTTGGGATGACGATCTTACATATATTGCCATATATATTGGTGTGGTGTCGTTTTGACTGGAGTGGTTGAGAGTTATTCTTCCAATTCAAGTGTGCCCGAGAGCCTACAAAACTAAAAGACCTAAGAGTACGATGCCTTGGGGTGATCTCGGAAATGGCCCTTCGACAATCAAGTTAGGGATGCCCTTTAGAGAGAAAATGGCCTGAAAAGCGGGATCTAAAGATTAGAAAAGAATTACCAATCTTTATTAATTACAAGTATGATATACCATACATAGTAATATTATAATGACAAACATGCACATCCAGAGTAAATTAAGGATAAATAATCTGTACTGGTTATACAGTGACAATGATTATGTGCTAGTTTAGTAGTAATGAGTTTGATCATGATAAACATGATTCTTGAGAAGGGTATTGATATCATTATACCAATAATTGGGCAGTGACTTAAACTAGGCTCAAACTTTTTATTTTTTTCATCTTTATTCTTCTCTTTTTTTTATAATAGATGAATGCACTTTTAATTTTTTGTATTACTTACACAGTTATTTGTTGGAAAGAAATAAAGGAGCACTAATCTAAGTACTATACGTATATACCTATAGCGAATATTAAAAGGTTCAATACAAACACAACAGAGGGACTAAAATTACCTATTCAAACTGTATATAATAATATAATACTCAAACTAGCTAGCTATTTTAATTTGTTCAAAAGATTATATGATTAATCCCTTTAATCTATATACTAATATATTAAAAAGCGTTTTTATAATTCATGTCACCCACAATCAATCAAAGAAATTATAACATGATTTTTAAAAGATTTGATCTCTCATGCCCTCAATATTATAACATCAATATCTAAACCATAAATATTTGGATGCTTTTTTTTTTTTTTTTCAAAATAAAAATTTATAAGGTGAAAATAAATTGACCCGGGGCTACTCCCGGACCTAAAAAACTATTTTTCTTGAAATCAAAGACATGCATATAATTTTTTTTTTTTTTTTTTTTGGATACAAATAATAATGCCTTTACCATTATTCTTAAATCATGAAATTTTTCTTAAGAATTCACATTTCTCATATTAACTCAATTTTTATATGGTTTTATTTAATTTAATAGGTGACGAAACTGCTAAAAATATTTAATATATTCATAGTTATTTTAATTAACACAAGATAACAAAAGCTATTATTATGTCCAACGGTAACTTTACCATCAATAATAAGAGTATCCAATATTAGTGTTGTCTTTGCCAGTTTGCCAATTGTTAAAATATCGTTGAGTCAAATTCCTTTTTTATTTTATTTTATTTTATTTTTATTTTTTGGAAGACAGTCAAATTCTTAATTAATTCATAAAAAGATTGGAAGCTTTAGTAAAGAATGAAGGAAACATAATAAGGATACAATAAGGTGCCAACAAATCGAGGTGTGTCTTGTACAACGCCTATCCGGGGGGCCGTGTTGATGGAGAATTTATAAGCCAGTGACTTTGGACCTTAGTGTATGTTGCATAACTTATTACTGCTGTACCCGTCCTTGAATTCTATTCCATTTTTCTTGTGTGGAGTCGTTTTATTTATTTATTTATTTATTTATTTTTTTTAAAAAAAAAAAATTGAGTTTGTCCCATGCTACTAGTGTTCGAAAGTCCATTACATTACTCTCACATTTATTATATTTAATCTAATTAATTTCTGCTCTCATTGATTTTATCAATATTAAAATTAACAAAGCTAAGTAACAATTTTTTTGGGGGTAGGTAAGGGAAAGGATGGCCCAACTAGGTCAGAGCCTCTCACTAGTCAACGCAATAAAGATTATTTGAGAATGAATGGAAAGGTTAGGGTAAGGTAATGTACATATGTGTACAAGTTTAGAGAAACACTCATCTTATTTGGAAATAGAGTAAGAAAATAATTTGAATTTACTAATACTGGAAACAAAAAATTTACTCTATATAAGTATTTTGTAATTATGTAGCTAGCTTTAACAATAATTTCATCAATCTTTTACATGGAGTATGTATCATTTAGTACTGTATAATAAGATATGAAATTAAATTCCGTATACATCAATATCTTTTGTGACTCTCTGTACACTTAAAAAATTATACTAGGCCATAAAAAATAAAGCACAATCTTAACTTTTTTGAAGAAATGAACTCTATTTATAGCACATTACTTACCAAATAGAATTTGTTATATACACCCGGGTGTATCGTACACCCGGGTCATTTGCTCATTTAATCAACAAATGAGCAAATAATTATTGGTCATTTATTAAATGAGCAAAAATTATTGCTCATTTGTTGATTAAATGAGCAAAACAATATTTGAATCATTGTCGTCGTCATCAATGGTATTGCGAATAGCTCTACGAAACTTGAAGAACCCATATCGTCTTCCTCTTCTTTGTAATTTGATTCAACATCATTATCATCAAATTTGCTTCTCCAGCTCCAGCTTTAGCTCCACAAATTACCAAATAAATCAACATCAACCCAAAAATCATCAAATTCAACAAAAATCACAAATTAAAAAGATAAAAATCGGTGAAAAATCAACATACCATAGCTTTCTAGGGTTTGGTCATCTTTCATAATCTGACCTTTGTAGATCAACCTCTGCTGCTCGGCAGGAACATCACAGTTTTGCGCAATCAATAACAAGCAATTTGAAAGCGTTGATGTTGGAATCAAGCGTAGTTTTGACTGAAAATTTGGAGCCGTTGGAACATCAAATGTTAACGGAAACTTCGCCAATGGCAACAGGAACGATGTCGCTTGAATCTCCTACCGCTCTCATAGTTATGGAAAGGGGGAAAATTGATCGATATAAGAGAAGAAGAAAGTCTAACCAGGCAAACTAATCTAAACTTACGAATATACCTCCGGGTGTACTTAGAAGAAGGTACACCCGGGTGTACAAAACAGGCTCTCCTTATGAAAAAGGGAGCCTTTATAAATTTTACCTCAGTGAGATTACCCTCATAAATTCAAGTTTATTTCCTTTTTCCATGGCCATAAATTTAAGATCATTATTACAAGTAGCACAATTATGTGACACAAAAAAAAAAAAAAAAGAAAAAGAAAAAAAAAGGGACCAAGACCAAGGCAGTCGACATTAGACCCAAAAAAAAATAAAAATGTATTCGTATGGTGTGGCACTACGGCAGGATCTCCGATCTAGTACTTGAGAAAATTATCGAACATAAATAGAGATATTTATGATGTAAGCATTAAATTTTCTTCATGAGTTATTTACCAAATTTCTTGGTTTTTCTCTCGTAGGGTGACATCTGAGTATCTGAAATATGTACGAATATGATTATGTCTACTGAATATATTTTCGACTTCTATAGTTATTATGTTTTCAGAGTCTCACCGTCCAAAGTCACAAATTCTCTTGTATTTTTGGTTGGTATACTTTTTGTACTATATATAATTACACTTTGATTACTTTTTGTGATTTATAATTGCGACAAAACATAATCATGTATAATTTTGTTTGAATTTTTTTTAATATTCACTTTTTATAATTTTACAATGCTTAATTAGAGATACTAAATGCTAAAATTGTGCGTTGGCAAATGTTATGCTACTTTACATAGAAGCAATTAATTAAGAAATGGGGGTTACAACGATGATCAAATGGGGTTATTTTAATGTATAAGAGTTTTCAGTAATGGAAAAAGGGATTACTCTTATAAACAAGTATAGTTTTTCTTTTAATAGTAAAAATAAAAGGAGAGAGGCCGGGTTACTTGGATGAACCAATGGGGCTACTTATTTTTCTTTAATTAATTGATGTTGCTCGTATAATATATTGGGGTTACTCTTATGGACAAATTAAGGTTACACACATGATGACATGAGTAATTGATTATGATTATTCTTGTAAGCAAATGTGGCCACACCATATGGCTGGTCATACACAAGACCTAGTCTAAAATAATACAGTGTATTTATATTTGATATGGATGGGGGAAGTTAATTTTCCCCTTAGTTTTCAGGTTACAAACCTTCTTATAAAAGAGGTAAAAAACAGAATACTACTTAAGACGACTATAATATAAAAAATTTATACTCTGTAAATCTGTAATAATAAAATTTTACAATAATATGACAATCCGATCGACTCGAGTAATCGACTAGTAATGCAAGTATAATTATTGCATTTACAATGTTTATTGGGAGCATTGAAAAAGAGAATATTTAAGTTTCTCAACATGAAAGACAAGCTATTTAACGAAATCTTTACTCGTACTTTCTAGTTTCTAGTAAGGCAAATAGCAGTTGGTGTGTAAAAAGCCAACAATACAATGACTTTGATCACTTGCTTTACGTTATGTTTGGAATTAATGGATAACCAAAAAGTCTTTGGAGATTTAAAACAAGGGAAGAAGCAACCTAAGATGCATTAACTGATTTTTACACCTTCACACGTTATCATCATATAGTTAATGGAAGTGGTTTGGAGTTTGAAACTGGTACTATCTTCTTTAATAGTCCTAAAACCAGCCAGACAGTTTGATAATTTTACAAACTCATCACCTCCCTTGGTCTTATAATTCCAAGTATATCCTAATGCTATATACCTTCATGTCCGAAATTAATAGCCACGTTGATAGTGTAATGTTTGCAATGAAACCCAACACCCTTTTTACTATCCATATAAAATAACTGTAGATTGAAGATCTGAAACTGAAAAAGGATAAGAGAACACAGATGTAGTTGGCATGCCACTTGCCACCCCCTAAGACTGAGTTTAACCCAATATTAGTAATAAGCAGAAAGCCATTTCCACTCAACAAAATGAAGGAACACAATTTCTCTGGAAATATTAATATTATACATAACCATTTTACTGTTTCTAGAAAAAACAAACAAAAATACTGCCATTATGTTATAGATTGTTAAAAATCTTACCATTTTGTTTTATGTATTCTTGATACCATGTGACAGCACCTGATAAATTAAGAAACCATCTGTATAATATACTGAGATTAAATTTCTGACCGAAACCAGCTTATTATTGAACCTGAATTGAAAACCAATAGACAACTTCACATGCTGTGTATTACTGGCTTACTGCTATTTGATCTTCATTATTGAGGGAAAACGAGAGCTTGTGTAACAGAAAGCAACTAATTCTTTTACAAATCATACAAAGTTTGGAATCCTGTTTTGCATAGTGTACGTCAACTTCGTGTTTAAAATTTTACAAGCATCGTTTGGGGGGAGAGGGAGAGTATACACCGAATCATATTATGACGATATCATAAAGTAAGGGATTTCAAAGAAATCTCCTATAATTTACATCCTTGAGTAACCTGCTCGTTGATCTTCATAATGCTCCATGAACGCGTCATTGAACTTCTTAAAGCTCTCCATGATAGCAGGCATGTCTTCCTCAGCAGGTAGAATGGTAGTCCTCATGTGGAAAACCCTGTTATACAGTGAAATAGCCTATTATTCAACATCATTATCATGTTTTTTTATGGCTTTTATAAGTTTCTTGGGTTTGAAGTCTTTTCTTTCCTTTTCTTTGGATAGGATGCAGAAAATTCAATAGATGTACACAAATAATCAGGGATGAAGCTCAACATGGAACCTTGTTTACCTAAGTGTTCGACCTCAACCAGTAAAGAAAGAAGTTAAAGGTTTTTATATAGAGTGTGAACAGGTTCTGTGAATTCTAAGTTCAGCTGGCCAAACTTTCCTAGGAAAGGGCACCAGATGCCTATAAGTTTACCAAATTCAATTGGGAAAATGATGTGCATTTTCAAGTTTGACAGGTTCTTCCACATTGAAAAAATAGGCTAACAAACTAATTGAACAGTTTGTGCAAGATACTGAAGAGAATAACGATTCTGTAGATAAAACACTTGCTCTTATTAATAGTTTAATTTTCAACTTGCAGTTAATCAGAATCATTATTGGTGTATATTACTCGGTACACCCTCTCATAGTTACTATGATAGTTAATTCAAGATGCTCGTCTGTTATATACTGACTTACTGAGAGGGCCACGTATGAGACAAGACAACAGTTTTTTTGTTTTGTAAAATTAGGTTATGGAGAAATAGTAAAGGATTTTAATTGTGAAACGAAACTTAAGGCTGCATAATACTTAAAAAAAAAAATGAATGTAATGTTCCAGTACCCTTCTTTCTGTCCAAACCCTGAACCAGGAACAGTGGAGATGCCGGTGGCTTCCAAGAGCTTGAGACAGTAGAAAACATCAGGATGTTTGCCAGCATTCTTTGCGGCCTCAACTGCCTTAGGTGGCAAGCATATTTGAGGGAATGAGTACATGGCACCTGAATCAAGGATTTATCTCACGAATGAATTTCTGTTCAGAAATAAATACAGGATACACAAATTCACACAAAAGATGGAAATTACTCTTTACCTTCTGTGAAATTGCACACAACATTTCTACAGCTGTTAAACCCATCAGTCATTATTCGCGCTCTCTTCCTCAATGATTCCAGAATTCCTTTGCTGCAAAAATATTTATGCATTATTATATATATACTCTGCATGATGGGTTTTTGTCTCCATTCTAGAAATAAAGCCCTATCCAAATTTCCTTCCTCTCAAAAAACTTGTTAAGATAATAGTTCATTGATATAAGAGATTCTTCCTCTCAGTCGATTAGCGAATAGAACAGAAAGGAGAAAATTCATGTCTTCTAACTGCTATCTAAATAAAGTGTAAACCAATTACCTCTCTTGTTCAAATCTAAGGTAAGAGATATCCCCAGGCTTTGGTGGATTGACCATCAATCCTAACTGTTAAAGGGAAAAAGAACAATGATTAAGCATACAGAATCCAAAACCTTGCCTAAGGAAAAACAAGAGCATCCAAACTGCAAATAAGTTTGAGAAACTTACAAATATTTGCCCTGGTACATTGGGACTTAGTGCAATTGAGGCAATCTTGTATATTTCATCAACTGACTGCAATGGAGACCAACAACATCAGATGGCGTATACACTTTCCATTCATATGAAGCAGTCAAGCAATTGCTTACTTGCTTTCTACCGTAAAAAAGATAAGTTACTTGAGGATTAATATTTGAAATATTTCCACTTGCAATCAATGAGAAAATGACTGACTGAACATTTTTGGTAACTAAAGGGTGCTCCTCAGCCATAGCTATGCAGATTGTTCATGAAGCGCATGCCAGAAACACCACTAGCAAACAACTGAAGATTTTTCATGACTGCTAAGGATTGTATAATCAGACCCATCTTTAAACAAAGTAATATTAGAGGGCTTTGTTTTGCTTTATTTCAATTTTTGCAATATGAGGTATTAAGTCACTTATACAGAGTTACGAGAACTGAGGTCTGTGAACTGTGAAGTCATTATTTCTGATTTTTCATGCCACCAAGAAATAAATTATAAATAAAGAAAAGATATTTCCATCAAAAAGCATAAAATTTGGGGTCACCGACTGAAAAACGTACACCATTAGTCGGTCAAAGCAGCTTAAATTGAGGACCCCTCTTTCTCTCAATTAAAGGGAATACTTTGTTTGAATTTAATTTAAATCCAAGTGAGTTTTTTTAAAAAAAATTTCCCATTTCAAATTTCTCATTTTCATAAAAAGTTCATTTGGAAATCTTTCAAACACTTGGTTGTAAGAGAGCTTCAAGTGCTTAACAGTGTAGTTATCATTGGGAAATGGGAATGCACTACAGTATGTCAGTATCTAATGCCCCTTGAATAAGTCAGACACTAATTTTTACTAAAAGAGCTGACGAGGGCAACGTAAAATAGATTTGGAAGCTCTGTAAATGTTAACTAGTTAAGGATGGAATGAGCAGATAACAGAGTAATACAATCACAACTCAAACAAAAATTTGGGACAAAGACAAACCTTCTGAGGAATGTTTGTCATCTCAAAGTATCCACCCCTCTGTCCACATTCACCCCAATATCCTTTTGACACTGTGTGGAAAGACACAAGCTGGAGATCCTTGTTCATTGGTGGGCCCATGTCCATTAAAACCTTCCAGAAAAGGATATTAGGTAAGTTTAAATTCTTGAAGGAAAGATAAATGAACCTGAGCCATATTTTACCAGGCGCTGAAATATTCTGCGTGACATACCTTTCTTGCACTTACAAAGGGGCGCTCATCTTGGTATATGTTTTGTTGATATACTTCATCAGCTAGAAGCACCAACTTTTCTTGGATACAGAAATTCACTATTTCTTGTAAGTTGGCTACACTAAGGCATTGTCCTGTAGGATTTCCAGGGTTAATAATAACCATTGCACGTACCTGACCAACATGAAAGTTAATAATAAGATACATTATCTTGCAAAAACAATGACCAAATTGAAAAAAAAAAATAAAAAAAAAAATTGAGAAGTTCACATATATATTGCATTAGGAATATAGAACCAGAATGTAAGATTAGCATGCCATCAGTAAGCCGAGATAACTGTACGAAGTAGTACTTAGAGCACATATTCCAATAACAGTACATCAGTCATGACCTCAACTTAAACCTTAAAATCTTGGCATTCCAAAAACTAATGGGTATTTATCAACTAGCAAGAGAGGATAAACTTTTAGGAATAACCACACGCATCAAATACAGCTTTGCTACAATTTTCTTTCTGAAACTATTAGCGGTTTTCTATACATCAAACATCATGATTCAGGAGAGCATACTTACTTTTATTCCTTTGAATGTGGCTTGTTGAATTGCATCACGGAGATTATTGATATCAAGCCCCCAGTTTGCAGTCTCCTCCAGGTAATATGGGACAAGAGAACCACCCAATAATGATATTGAAGCAGAATAAAGTGGGTACTGTGGAACAGGAACTAGGATCTGAAAGAAAGATAGATCAATAAGGCAATAATGACCAGAGATCAACACTTCTACTTAAATAAAGGGAAAATATCGGCAAGTAAAAGAAAAAAGGATCAAAAGAGACTTACCCCATCACTTTGGCCTCCAATGACAGCATTCAAAATTTGCATCACTCCCTTGCTAGCACCATCAGTTAGGAAAATGAGTTCTGGATCACTGAAAACCAAGCAGAAACAACATTAGTCATACAGTCAACAAGCAAACTTAGACATATTGAGGCTCGAGTACTGGATGATCAATAACATTGCCATGAGAAACATGCATTAAATCACCTTGGATACCCATCCCGCCTTTCAATAAACTCTGCAATCTCTTTCCTTACGCCAGGAATGCCTCTTGAATCACTGTAAGCACCTAATTCAACATACAATAACAAATGTTACACATACCCCACTTTTCATGAAATATAGTATAACTTGGCATCAAAAGTTGCATTTTTTGTAAGGTTCTGAAAGCACCAAGAGACTGATAAAATAAGGGAGGTGAACAAATGTTAGGTATTATGAAAGATGAAGTTGACAAAGAAATATAAAATAAGGGAGGTGAACAAATGTTAGGTAATAAAAGACGTATCTGCAGAAAGGGAAAGTAAACAAAGTATAAAGTGGAATATCTAACAGAAAGAACATTTGCTACATGAAAAAGAGGTAAAGTTGGGATTTTGGGGTGGGGGTACACTTGCATGAATCAGCAAGGTATTGGGATTACAGACAATAGTACAACTGTATAGTTGTAGGCAACCTACAAAATCAGAAAGATTAGACGATGACAAGGAGAAATGACAATCAGCAAAGAATATTAATTGACATTGATGTATCAACGGATTTACTGATTTAGCATGAATGCAGATTGACTGAGCCAATCCAGCAACATAATGGATAACAGCAGTGTCATCAATATTTTCCCAGTGAAAGCAAATAGACCCAAACTTCTAATAGATACTTCTCTTCTTTCATGAGCCGCCTTTGGGTGATGTATGGAAATCGACTTGATATTAGATTAACAAAGTAACATAAATCCCATTATTGGTACAATCTAGGATGGTCGGATGCATGCAACCTCATTAAATAAGAATATAGATGCAAACATGAATAAGATTTCATTTGTAGCAATTCTGGCATATCACATCAGTAAGAGGAAACAAAAGTTAAAAATGTACCTAGACCGCCTGAAGTCATAGAAAGGTAATGCTTAGCCCTTGCAATTGCATCAGCTGGGAATACAATTCCAACATTAGGATCATCAAGTAGGAACGGAGCTTGACACAAAGCAACCACCTGGAAGAATACGCTTTTTAAAGTTTATACACAAACTTAAATACCGAACCACAAAGTGACTAATATAACTTCTATTATGTAAAACCTGGCGCGGGAATGTCAATGGTTTCTGCCCTAATGCATGAGGATTTCCAACATTTGTGAAGATGATCTGCATGGGTACATGAATAGTCAGAAAATAAGACAAGATTTGAGTGCGATAGAGCACTAAATTAAAATGTCTAGAAAGAAGATGATGCAGGAGAATTAGCTCGAGACATGGTTCATCACTGAGGTATATGCCTTGTGACTAATCACAAGATTAGCTATGTTTTTTCAGCTGTATAACATGTCATCAGGCAGAAGGCCAGTCTTCAAGGCTAGTCATTTAAAATAGTAAGTTTAATAGAATAAATCATTTAATATCAGGAGGCGTAATATCGAGTAGCAAGAGAAACAGAACACTCGAAGCAGTGTTATCACGCCCAAAACAAAAGAGATAAATTGTTCATATATTTCTTCATAAATGATATAAATGTGTATGACAGAATCAAATGGATGAGGAATCTGATCTCAAATCCCAACAGAAAAATCACACTTCAGGTAGGGGTCTCAACAAGCCCAAAGAATGGAGTACAAAAACATTATTCCATTTACCTTCTTCCCTTCTTTCTGGAGCTCAGAAGCTCGAAGATACAGCTCACCCCTAACAGCATATTGGCACTTCTTCACATTTTCATTCAATCCCTCATAGTCCAGTCCCTTCGACATTTTAGTTAAAACTCAAGCTGATGTCCCTCAAGTCAAAAAGAGAGACTAAACAGCACCAAGTAATATGAGCTCAGATCATAAACCTGAAATTCAAATGTGGTAATCATATTAGATACAAAATAATAATAGTAAAAAAAAAAATTGCATTACACAAGCAATAACAACAGAGGTTTTATTACATACATCAAAGACTAGGCAAATACAGAGTTAAACATTTCTTTCCATGCAATTTTTCTACAAACTGCAAACCCATTAGACACATTTGCATGCTTGATCACCACTGTTCTCTAGCCAAATAAAACATTAAAATCAAGCAGCTTTTCAGTCATCATGATCATCAGAGTTATCTACTTCATAAAATTTGAATAACTGAAAACAAATTGATAACACCACGCCAAAATCAACTTATTTTAGGGCTATAAAACCAAAGCACTTGGCTTGTTCTTGATCGTTTTTTATTTTCAGTTTTCTGTTTTTATGAAAACATAAAACCAAAGAAGAAACTAGAAAAAAGTTTGTTTCCAATTTTTTGTTGTCAGTTTCCAAAATTATCATGATTAAAATAATTTAGACCATTTTTTTTATTCATTATATGACTATATGTTAAGCCTTATATCTTGTATAGCTAATAGGCTAAAATTACTGGCCCTAATCTCTTGTTAGGTTGTATATATATAAACTTCTTCATACAGTAATACAACTACGGAAAATTAATTCCTGACATGGTATCAGAGCCAACGTGACACTAGGATCACGTTGGCGAATCTCATCCACCCCCCACTTTCAAGTGGAATATTAAGCGATGGGTATGAGAAGGGCCCATGCTACATCCACACTAAATGGGCTCTCGTGTGAGGGGGCGTGATAGCGTATAAAAACATATTCGAGGGCCTCAACCAGCGGATATTAGTCCGTTTTATGTGAATACAATTGATCAACCAGCGGATATTTTCACTAAGGCCTTGAGCAAAAACCATTTCTTGTATATACTTGTCAAAGTTGGGCATTTGTGATTTGCATGCTCCAACTTGAGGGGGTGTTAAGCCTTATATCTTGTATAGCTAATGGGCCAATGTTACCGGCCCTAATCTCTTGTTAGGTTGTATATATATATACTTCTTCATACAGTAATACAACTACACAACTACGGAAAATTAATTCCTGACACTATATCATATGGTTTTAAAAAATAAAAAACAGAAAACTACAGAGAACGGACCCAATTACGGCATCAATATCCGAAATAGCAAGCAAATAATGACAGCAAAAATTCACGATGTGGGTTACACTAATCATCCTCTTTTGAATAACAAACCATCTTTCATCAATAATTAACAAACACCATTAAGTTCTAATCAAAAACCATAATCAACTAATACAGCCAACAAAACCACAAAAAATTGTATAATCATGTAATTAATCACTAAAATCAATCGCTTAAATGCAAATTAATGAATTAATCTCAACCGAGTAATCATGCATTTCAATACTCAACAAATAAACAATTTCAAACCAAAAGAAATTCCATCATTGCTATCAACCCCAACACCCAGAAAATCACAATTAATCATATAATATGAATACCTTCACTAAAAAATTTCCCAGAATAATCATAAAGATCCTTTTTTAAAAAACAAAGTTAAAGAAAATAGACCTGCAAATTAGAGAAGAAGTAGGATACCTGAGAGTTCTTGCTTAGAGTGAAGTAGCCAAGAAACTTGGGCTCGTCAACTGTTGAGATATTAGAAATGGGAAAATGCACGAAAAGAAAATAAGAATATACGTTTTTATTTATTAGGTAGGAAAAGTAAAATTTCCTCCGTTTTTATTTATTTTTGCAACACTTTAACTTTCACATAATCATATACGGTAAAATTTGGTTAAACTTGACCCAATTGATATTTTTAAGGTATCAACTTTTGTATTATTTTTAATTATTTAAAATTATTGGATTAAAATTATAAAATTATGTAAAGTACAATATTAAATAACGTAAAAATGTTACAAGTATTAAGAAACGAAAATACTCTGTAGATGTTTCAAAAAAAAAAAAAAAAAAAAACTCAGTAGATAAATAAAATTAATTGGATTTCATTGTCAAAATTAAGGAATGAAAAACTGGAATTTAGCATAAAATATTGTCACGTGGCAACAAGGAGAGCAATGGTAAGACCACAACCACCCAAAATGTTTAGAGATAATTATATTTTATGTTGATTTATTTTCATTTTAGTTGATTTTTTTGAACAATGTTTTTCAATGAAGGAGGGGAATTGGAATTACAAAGAGATAAAGTTCAAAGAGGGAAGTGTGGTGTAGCTTGAAGCTACAAAAAGTTTCTTGGCGGATATTGAAACTTGTTTTGCTACAAGGTTTATCCATTTTGGGACACAAAATAATTGTATGGTATTTAGTGATTTGCAAAGACATTTTTGTTATTAAAATTTCTTAGTTTTGATGTTTGGTCCACGTATAATAAAGCAACTTTAATATCACCATCGTTCTTACTTCTTACGATTTTTTGTATTGTCAATAGCTTGATACTATTATTATTATTATTATTATTATTATTATTATTATGCCATGATTGATACTTCATATATATTAACCCTTTCAATGATGTTGATTATATGATGCTAGTTATAGGATTTCAAAATCAAATTAGAAACTATAATTTATTCAAACATAAGAATCTCTCTTTTTAACTCACTAAAGTCCCGTTTAGTAGTTTTTTTTTTTGTTTTTTTTTTTTTTATTTATTTATTTTTATTTTTATTTTTGAACGGGAAGAAAATATTATCATCAATAAATAGCTATTCGACATCTACAACAATAACATTGATGTATAAACCACAGATTTAGAGAAAATAACATAACTTTTACATTCAAAATCATAACTAGTTTGCATATTTGATTGGCATTGCTCACACTCCACCGCTTCAAACTTGGTAAGATCAGAAATTTTCGATGTATTCGCATCTTTCTAAGTACAGACCTTCGCAATCAGCGCTGGTGTTCTGATCGTAAAGTTGATGACAAACCCTAAATCCATATGAATCTAAAACACCTTCCTAATTATTAAAACCCTAAAAATAAAGAATCAAAATCCCAAAAAATTGGGACAGACTCTCACAAATGGAGAGAATAAAGGAAAGCAAAAGGAAAACAAAATAAACACCTAAATTAAATTAAGAAAAAAGGGTCGAAAATAGTCTAAAATTCGAAGAAATTAGACTATTTTCGGCCTAAACGGCCAAAAAAAATTGAAACCTTAAAATAGAAGAGAGGAGAGAGGAGAGAGAAGAGAGAAAAAGGAGAAGAGGGGGCTAGGTCTGTTTAGTTTGATGTAAAATGTTTTTCTTGGAAAATGATTTTTTCATTTTCTTGTGTTTGGTTTGTAAAGGGTGGAAAAACAATTTTCTCAATGGTCGAAAATTACATTTTGAATGATGGAAAACATTTTCCCTTACAAGACAAGGGAAACCACATTTTCCTCCCTTTGCCTTCCCTCCTTTTTGTTAGACGTATATGCTATAAAAAACTATAAAAACTTATCTCAATGGAATGCATGCAAACCAAATGACAGTAGCCGCGTCGTGGATAACCACTGACCTAATAAAAGACGATTCCGCGCTACCTCCCGGTGCAGTAGACGCAAAACGGTCACCCTCTAGGATAAGCATAGCGCTGGAGTTTGTGTGCACTCACAAACCTGACTGGAACTCAGAATGTTTGCCCAGAAATAAGAGAACAGTGTTCAGAATCTTTGAGGGTAAAGAGTTTTTGTGTTTTATATAATGGCTGGTGAAAGCACAACTATTTATAGGGAAGAAGCAATAAACGATTACCACAAGAAAGTATCTAGGTTCGTTTAGCCAAGTGACCAGATACGTTACACCAAAACGACAAGAAATAAATCTGCCAATTAATTAGCCGAAATCAAGGGCTAATTAAACTCTAACAGTAAAAATATAATTGAGAAAATTCCATTTATCAAAGTAAGAAAAAGAGATAAATAATTCTCCAAAAAGATAGAGGGCCCACAGTCCACCCACACCCGCGCATTCCCCGAGTCCACGAGTTCGACCCGGCTCGACGCGCGTGCGTGTGTGTGTGTGTGTGAGGTATAGTCAACAACCCACTTCCCATTTAAGCAACTAAGTAGGAGTAAGGTATTATAATATTTAAACAAGGGAGAGCACTCTTTTTCTTTCAATGTGGGACATTTACCTCACTTTTATATCACTCTTTTCTTTGTTTTTCATCAAGAATTTCCAACAATCCCCCATAGATTCGAAGATGAAGAAAAGAAAATAAGGAAACTGAATTCTGGGCAAAACAAACAATTTCATAAGTGTCAATGACTCGCGACTTAAATTGACACATAGCTTAGAGAACATCAAGCTATGATCCCTTTCCTACCAAGTGACCTTAGTCTTGAACTTAATAGGGGGTTAGGAACCCGTCACTTGAGTCACACAATTGACCATGTATAATATTCTGAAATTCCGCGAGTAAAATGACGCATTATACTGGCCATACGTTCGAGCCTGGATGCTCATAGGTGCTCTAGAGTATAAGCCCACGAAATACTCATAGGAAGCGGCCACACTTCCACACCTAAGTAGGTGAATCCCATCAAGTGTGAGCTAGAACACACCACCAAAAATATGGTTATGGGTTCATTAAGAGCCTTATGCTCAACCTCTTTCTCCATTGTAGCAAAGCACAAAACAAACATCTAGGGATGGACAAAAATAAAAATTTTGCTTCCGAATTATTATATAATGTTCCCCTTTGAACTCATAATGAGTAGGAGTTCATTACTTTACAATTCATACAACGGGCTTTAGCCCCATACCTTTCGATGTTTCCAAAACTAGTTTTCTTCTAGGCCTTAATTCAATGGATCCGCAACATTCTTTTCGGACTTTACATAGTCCAGTGATATCACCCCTTCAGATAACAAATTTCTGACAGCTTTATGCCTCAGACGAATGTGTCTCTTCTTCCCATTGTAGGCATAGTTGTTTGCAACAGCAATCACAGCTTGCGAATCACAATGAAGTGCAACTGAAGGAGCTAGCTTCCCCCACAGTGGAATATCATCAAGCATGTTCCATAACCATTATGCCTCATGACTTGCCAGTTCAAGAGCAATGAATTCAGATTTCATAGTAGACATAGCAGTACAAGATTGCTTACTAGATTTCCATGATATAGCTCCACCCCTAAGAGTGAGACATAACCACTAGTGGAGTTCACTTCGTCGTTGTCAGACACCCAGTTGGCATCACAAAAGCCCTCCAAAACTCCTGGAAATTTGGAATAATGCAAACCCCAATCCATGGTACCTTTAAGATACCTAAGCAATCTCCTGAGAGCAATCCAATGATCACTACTCGGGTTATGAGTGTACCTGCTCAATCTACTAACAGAGTAAGCAATGTCAGGTCTAGTGTAGTTCATAAGAAACATAATACTACCAATAATATTAGCATATTCAGACTGATGAATAGGATTCACCTTTATTTTTCTGTAGGTGGAAACTGGGGTCATATGGAGTCCTAACTGGATCGACATTAGATGAGTCAAACTTTTTGAGAAGCTTTTCAATATAGTGTGACTGGTTAAGATAGATGCCATTTGGAGTCTTTTTGATTTTTACTCCCAAAATCACATTTGCCTCACCCATGTCTTTTATTTCAAAATTAGAACTTAAAAATTCTTTTGTCTTATTTACTCGATCCAAGTTAGTCCCAAAAATTAACATGTCATCCACATAAAGATAAATAATCACACAACCATGGCTATCATGCTTAGAATAAACACAAGAATCACCTTCATTAACATGAAAACCATTACTAGTCATAGTCTTGTCAAATTTGTCATGCCATTGCTTTGGAGCTTGCTTAAGCTCATACAATGACTTGACTAACTTACAAACCTTGTTTTCTTGGCCTCGGAAACGAATCCTTTGGGTTGGACCATGTAAATCTCCTCATCCAATTCACCATTCAAAAAATGCAGTTTTGACATCCATTTGGTGAACAACAAGATAAAAAATGCAAGCAAGAGCAATCAAAGTCCTAATGGTTGCAATTTTAGTGATAGGGGAGTAAGTATCAAAATAATCAATGCCACGTTTTTCAGTAAAACCCCTCACTACTATTCTAGCCTTATACTTGTCTATGGATCCGTCGGGTTTTAACTTCTTCCTAAAGATCCATTTACAAGTAATGGGCTTGCAACCCCTAGGACAATCAACCAATTCCCAAGCGTTATTATTGAGAATTGATTGTAACTCACTATCAATTGCTTCTTTCCAAAAAAAATAGCATCATCTGACCTCATTGCCTCATCATAGATTCTTGGATCATCTTCCAACGCAAAGATATGAACAAAATCATCATCAATATTGAAAGATTCAGATAACAAGTTAGCAACAAAATCAAGTCCAAAACTATTATCCTTTCGTGCCCTTTTGCTTCTCCTTAGCTCCAAAACAAAATCATTGTTAGTAATAGGAGCATTGGCAAACTAACAGAACTACTAGCAGGTAATTCACTATCATTAGAAGGAGACATTTTCCAAGGAAAAATGTTCTCAAAGAATTCGGCATCTCTTGCCTCAATGATATGGCCACCTGCATAAGAGTTGTTAGTACCTTTAACAAGAAAACGATAAGCTGCACTTTGATAAGCATAGCCAATAAAGATAGTATCAATGGTTTTAGGACCAATTTTGTCCCTCTTAAAGCTAGGTATGCCTACTTTTTCTAGGCACCCCCACACTTCCAATTATTTC